AGTGCAAAATAACATTCCTTATCGCTTTTTATAAATTAATTTTTTCAATGGATACTCCTAAAAATATTTTTTTTAGAACATAAATTAATAATATGAAAATGTTTTGTCGTTAGAAATATATATATAAGTAAAAAATCTTTAATATCTATGCACACGTACAGAAAATGTTTTTTAACGCATGCGGAAGAATATCTCAAGAACGTTTGCAATCTCCCATGCAGAGTTATCGGTCCTCGCTCTCTCTCAAGAACCGATAACTCTGCATGGAAGATTGAAAGTTTGGCGGGAAAATATGAATGCCTACTCAAATCCAATCTATTAGAAAAATCGAATTATTACAGAAGAGTGTCCACCATGCACTTGCACTGCACTATTATTAATATAGTAGAATAGAATGATATACAAATGGATGAAAATTATATATACATGTAACTGTAATATACAAATATTAATATAATATATAACAACAAACCAGAGGTATACTGATTTGTATCACTTCAATATCATATTTATTACGGTGAGGTTGAATTCCCTGTCAGTTATTTATAATCCACGCACGAACTTGCCTTAGAAAAACAAAATATATCTGTACATTAACCTCACTTTCAGGTATAGAGATGTGATTTTTTTTCTGAGACAAGTGCTTGTGACCATCCACAAGAACTTGCAGTCATCCGATGTTCAGTACTTCAATACTTTGATTTTAATTAAACGTTTAAGATGCACTATAAAAATTGCCTGCAATATATTTTCTGCGATAGTTAGAACTTATAAAGACAAACAGAACTCTTATCTAAGAAACAAAGGGGGAAAAAAAACCCATGAGGAGTTTTTTTTAACAAACATATGTTGGGTGTCAGTATTCCTATGTACAGTGAGTAATATTTTTAAACATCTATAAGAACATGTACATCCCGCATAACCATGACTTGTGTTTATTACTGGACGTGAAAATGCAATGCTACTATGTTGCTATACCCTATTCCAACCATGGCGTCATTTATAAACTGGATCAAAATATATATATATATAAATTAGTAATGTTATCACTAAAGATTTCGTTTTTTGCATTTGTAAAACACCCCTAGGTGTGTTATACGACAAGAAAAACCTTAAAATATGCATTATTTGACTTATATACCGTAAAAAAATATAACTTTCTGCTAAGATTTGCAGTATTTCCATCCTATTTTACCGACCATATTCTTTTCTGATGTATTCAGGTTTTAATACGCCCTAAGCCTCATTTATAATGTGAAATAAAACGCACTAATTAATTTAGATACAAACTATAGAAGTCATTGTCCAGTTTCAATAAAAAAATAACTGTATCTGCACGAACCAAGAAACACATGAATTGTAACGGTGTATGCAAATTACAAGTCACTTTGTAAGTAATTTATTATATTAACTTTGTTTATGAAAGGGGAAGGGGGATGCTTTGTTTTTTTTCTGTTGTTTTTTTCATGACATTTTAAGTGCGGATATACAGATTATTTTGTCAACAATTTTTTTAACGAACTATAATTCTTTTTTTTTTAAACTCAGAATCAGGATTAGATATTATACCCCCCCCCCCTTCTCCCCCATTTTAAAGTACGTGGTGTCATAGAAAATAAGAATATTGGGTCATTTGATCATTAGATAGAGCATGGAAGTAATATAATACTTCCATGAATAGAGTAAAGGGTAATTATAGATGTAAAAGGTTAAGAACTGGAATGAAGAGAACACAAAATCGAGATACATGTACATGTAACGCGAAAAACGAATATCCATAGGTCAAAGTATGATTTCTAATGCAGTGTGAATCATAAGATTTTCAAAATCCTACGCACGATTGTGTTAAAACTGGCTTGTTTTAAAGTATTTTGAAAAGTTTTGCATTATTAGATCCATCTCACATAATGTTCCTTTATTGTAGCGATGAATTAAAATGTGCGTCAACGACGATTTTTGGTATTTCAGTCCAATAAACAGAGGAAAGGATAACTGAAGCTTAACAAGCTTAGAATATAAAAATAAGAAGATGTGGTATGATTAACATAGAAACAACTCTACTCAAGAGACCAAATGACACAGAAATTAACAACTATAGGTCACCGTACGGCCTTCAACAATGAGCAAAGCTCATACCGCATAGTCAGCTATAAAAGGCCCTAAAATGACAAATGTAAAACAGTTCAAACGAGAAAACTAAAGGCCTAATTCATGTACAAAATAATGAACGAAAAACAAATTTGTCACAGAGCAACAAACGACAACCACTGAATTACTAGCTGCTGACTTGGGACAGAAGTACTAGTCCATATCATAATATAATTTTCAGAAATCTACATATTTTCCGCATCCAAGTTTCACGAGTATGCCGGCCTGCCTTTTTAACAGAAACTATTGTCTTTGTTTGAATATAGCGATTCAAAAGTTATGTCTGGTTATATTAAATGCATTTAATAATTGTCTAAAAAGATGCTCATACTTGCATAACCTTCTCAAACTCATCAACTTCTATTTTAATTGCAAAATCGACTCCGTCAGAGATAGTGATATTCAATTAACTGACTGTAAAACAATTACTTTCTTTGTGTATATACGGATATCGTTTTCCATTTTTAGTGAATTTATGTTGTTAAAGTGTTTACTATTGCTCTCTTCATAGGTATTCTTTAATAGCTCATAACTTACATGAAACCAACAGTAATGCAGTCCGCTTAGCACCTTTAAAATACATTGTTTATCGGTCTTTTTTCATTTTTATTATGTTTTATTCTACGTCTTCTGTTAGACAACAATTGCCGTAAACAAACTTACTGACAGCAATTTAGGTCATGATGTCGTTTTAATAAAAACTGATTCAATCATTTGTTTTGTCATTTCGGGGTCTTTTATAGCTGACTATGCGGCATGGGTTTTGCTCGTTGTTGAAGGCCGTACGATGAACTATAGTTGATTTGATCCCTGGTGGAGAGTTGTCTCATTGGCAATTATACCACATCTTATTTTTAGATTTAAAGACAGATTGAAAGAATTAATCAAACCTCTTTTCATAAAAAAAAAAAAGAATGGCCAACACTGTCACATTTTTTGGTTTAGAGAAGGGCGAATCATATACCTTGTGAAATCAATCACTCTGATTCTAATAAGAATTTCTCTGAAACCTGAAACTGACTACAACAAAATTTTTTGACACAATATTCATTTCGATTGGAGACGTACTTTCCAACAGACAATTGACATTCCTATGTGAACCAACTGCGCTCCTCTTCTTGCCGACTACTTCTTTTATTCGTATGAGACTTCACGTAGGACCTTATCAAGAAGAATAAAAAGAAGCTGACATTACTCTTTCACTTCACGTTCCGATTTAATTGTTATCATCACTAAATAATTCGGTTTGGTGACTATGTTGATCGAATCTAACTTACTCTAATGACTTAGACCTATGTATGAAATAGAGATGCATTATTTCATTGAAATTGATTTTCTAAGTTTACAAAACAGCAAATTGCAATAAAATAATATCCTTTTTATACGCCCGTTTACGGGACGTTTTATGGCATACTGTTGCCCATCCGTCCGTCCGTCTGTCCGTCCGTCGTCAACATGTTGGACAATAACTCAAAAACGCTTTAACACATTTGCATGAAACTTTGGTGAATTGTTTATATCTATTGATGCGAGCTCCCTTTCGTTTTTCAAAAATTTTAGATTTTGCGTTTCGTAGTTATGGGGTTTTATTCATTAAAAAAGAATTCTTTTGCTGCCCTCTCTGTCTCTTTCTTTTTATGCATCGTGTATTGAAAAAATAACTGTATGTATAATCACTATTTTACATTTACCAATTTATTCTTTTTTATTTAGATAATATAAGCAAACATCTGAAAATGTCTATTCGTAGTCATACTTGATGTAGACGGTTTAAAGCATTGTTTGTATACATCTTTGACTCTACCAACTTTATACTCTCAGTATGAACTGAATTTTACAATAACGTACGTGTCGAACGTGTTTAAATGAGTTCTTTGGCATTATGTAAATGAATATCTTGCCTGAATATTCTTTAAATTATAGAACCAAGGTTGCAACTTCCTAATGCCAAGTTCACCTTAGACGGGCTATTTAAGTACTTGGTGAATTCTATGCTCTCAATCACTTCTTCTTGAAAGGAAAGGAAAAAGTTGTTACCGCAATATTGTCAAAAAAATGCAAATACTGCAAAATTGAATCAGTCATTCTCATCAACTGATATTATTGTATTAGAAAAACTAGCAAGATTTATTAAACATGTATTATCGATTGTCGTCCCTCCTGGTTAGTTAAGTTGTGTTAAACATACACAATTAAAATTTATGTACTGTCTTTTTCCATATTTGTTTACGCATGCACTATTATTGTATTATAATTGTATACTAATTTCTCTGTAACATTATGTTTATGAGAATAAAATATTCGTATTCTTGCTGATGCGGCGTAAAGCAATCAATAATCAATCAAGTCAATCACTTCTTATAATTTTTGGCTTTCCAATTGCAATCATTTGGTCACGTGCGTTCCTGATGAAGACACGTGATGTGTGTATTGAAATCTTATCATTTGTTTGTTTCAACTCGATTGGTTAAAGCCGGTCATTGCCCCTTCGGTACAATGTATATCCGATCTTCTTTTTAAGATTCATGCTATCTACTTATTTGCGATATGAAGTTAATTCAAATGACTCTAGTATAGAACAGTTCATTAAATTACTTGGTTTATACAGGGATTCAATTAATTAAAAATAGATTCAGTAAGAAATGAACGGCCTTCTCCATTAACATCAAAGAACATCAGGCCATATGTACCCTATAGTTAAATTGTCATCTTCTTTATACAGTAACAAGCTAGATTATTTTTTCGTGTCCTGTTTATCTGATTATTTTTTTTTTATTTTGGTTTAAGTTTAGTTTTTGTTAAACACAAAAAGATAAGACATTTGTTCTATATGAAACACGTTATATTTGACTAGATAGCAATTTAGATTAAGTTTTAATTGAATTGTCAAGGATTAAAGAACAAATGACACAAAAGATAAAAGATTTTTAAAACCAAACTAATCACTCGCTTCATTACGATGAACTATTGTCCTGAAAAAAGAAAGATAATGACATGTCAAATGCATTGCAAGAAATAACACAAGTTAAGGAATGCAAAAGAGAATAAATCGTTCAATAATTCAAAAATTGAATATCAATAAACACTAAAAAGACGCACAGTAAAAATTAGAAAAAAAATGAGAACTGCATTTGCAAAATACATTTTTATGTGAAAATCTTATAAGCAACGACTTTATCATACCGTTAGGAAAGGGCAGTAGGACGATCTCATCTCCTGTGACAATAATAAGAATGCAAACGAACCTAAAGTCCATATAGCTATGAAAGTACATATGGCCGAATGACTAATAAATTATCATAAGGGCAGAAATGTGTAGAAATTATCTATTTTATATAATTCTGCTTTCTGCGTGAGTAATATAATCTCATGATTATACAATATGTAAGACAATATTAAGGCGCGATAACTCCTCAATTCAAACTGCTGATATATTAGATGGTCAAAATGTTGTATATAACAGTAATTTTACTGCTCCAAGATGTGCATTTCGACAATTAATATCTCTTTAGTGAAGCTCGAGATCAAACTACTTTAAAACCCAAAACCTAAAACACTGTACAAGCGTGATTAAGCTGATAAACCAAAAATAACATACGGTATAGCCAAGTCCGGACATGGAATCGGAGCTGTGCTAAGAGACGCTTTGTAGCTTGTAATATGAAGTGGACAATTGTCTTTTGCCGTAACCGATAAAGTTAATCTGTACTTCTAAATATCTATCCCGTTCAATTTGACATTTGTATTGTTATGTTGCTGTATCCTTATAATTGACATATTACACCATACCATGTTTTATTTATATGTATACAATTTACATAATTATAATGGGTTCAAATATGAAGTAGGGACCAATATGATAAATACAAATAATGTGTAGTTGAAACTTTTAAAATCTTTTAAATACATCCCCTTTCAATATGAAGTTTTTGCATTTTGTTTCATTGCAGGATTGTTCCGCGGATGTTCAAGGTATCCTTAACGACTTGTCACCAGAAAATAAATCGGAGATTTGGTGGAGAAAGAATTAATTCAATATGCTAATGGTTCTTACAAATTTCTTTACTAAATAAAAAACATAACACGAACACGAACACGGACAACTTTATGTTTAGAATTTTCTATATTTTTTTTTCTAATTATATAAGTTTTTTTTAAATTTTGGTTGATCACTTGTTGTCTATTTACCATCTATTCATATATCTTTTGATATGGATGCTAGTGATTTAAAAGTCCTAAACTTACCCTAGGGTTTGTTATTATTATAATATATCACCCGGAGGTAACAATCTACCATAAATGTGCCTATGTATTACATGGGAATGTCTATGATGACCAATTGTATCATCTGTACCTTTATACTCATCATCCCCAATAACCTCATGAGCAACATTGTTTTTGCCATGAACCATCTTTATTCCTCCATAGCCTATTATACCCTGTCCAGATTTTCCATGACCTTCAAAAAATATTTCCTAAACTTCAGTAACGTTTAGTATTACAAAACCATTATTTGTACAAACATAAAATTATATTCTGCTTGTAATAGCTATTCGTCATGGTTACTATAATTCATTGACATGGGTCGTCATGATCATTCATTAAGCTAGAATCGAAAAGTTCTGTTGCATTGATTAATTATTAATACTTACAAAATGACATGGGGTTGTCGTGATGAGTTAACATTTCAAAAGTTCCTTCTTTCTCAACTTTTTTGCTAAGTATGTGTCTCATTTGTGAATATATCTTTTTTCCTTCTTGTCTGAGCTAAATGCTTAATGCCTATTTTTTAAGGCATTTTATTGAGGCAACTATATTGCAGCTGTTCAAATTTACAAATTAGTTACTTGATTTCAAATGTCAATATTTAATTGTTTTGACATATGTGACAACTGCTGGTCATTTATTTGTTTATGTTAATGTCTCAAAGACCAAACTAATTGTTTTAAGCTGTTAGTCTCTGAATACTATTCGCAACATTCCTTGCCTTAATTTTTTTATTTGGTGTGTTTTGTTTACTTAATTTTGTCTTCTGGTCGTTTTTCGTTTTTTGCCATGTCAGTTTGTTTTTGACTTATGAGTTTCAATTTCCATTCTTTCTCTCTCCTATTAAGTAATCAATAATGTTTTGTCATAAAAGTCCAGACTCTGAGGCTTTTATTTTCTCATAGATCTATGATGAGTTATATCACACAACAAAAACATAACAAAATATAATAGCTTAGATAAATGACACATGTATTAAAGGACGTTATTTCTCAGTAGTATATATCGTTACTCAAGTTCTTATATAAATAAAAAAAGATTACAGCCGATTTCAATGAGTGTGTAGGAAAAGGTAATATCTTTGGTTAGCTTGCTTGCTAGCTGAACCGTGAAGTCATTATTAGGTTAGGTAATCTACCCTCCTTTGAGTGTAGACTAGTCCCACAGGTTACCAATTATATCTGTCTGTCGGACTAGTCTACTTAAAAAAGGAGGGTAGTTTACCTAACCTAATATTGACTTCACGGTTCAGCTAGCAAGCAAGCTAACCAAAAGATATTACCTTTTCCTACACACTCATTGAAATCAGCTGTAAGTCATTTTGCTAAGTGAATACTTCCTGTCTTTGCATTTAGTAGCAATTGCATCTTTAACTTATTAGCCTTAATAACTTTTCAGCACAACATACCAATATCATTAACAATAATGCGACGTTTATATGGATATAACTTGCTTCCTTAGCAGTGCGATCAAATAAAATAAGCCAGTAACAAAATGTATTGACTTTATTTATGTACACGTATAATTACCATGTAGTTCTGTAGGTTTGAACAATCCATGCAGCCGCGAAAAACAGACAAAAACATTGTGGTGTTTCCGCTTGCAATGTCGCCATAATCTGTAAAACCTTTTTACACTGCATCTTAACTTAAATGCTGAAAAAAATTATATGACTTACATATTAATAATTTAAAAATACCTTTCTGTACTAGAAAAGTAATATTAAAAAAAGAAGTGAATAAAATTGTACTTTTTAAATTAACTCTTTTTATCTTGTCTGTAAATATTAAAAGTACAAGACTAAAATAAATAATATATAATATATAACATGATGTGGTTCTATATATAAAAGCTAAAAGCTTAAAGCCAAGTGGAAATGAAGTATAGATTTTTTTTTCTTCGTTAATGAGGTTTAATCATTTTTGGTGTTTAAAATTTTCATCTCTAATTTGCAAATGATAAGAACATACAGAAATGGAAAATAAGATATCTGCTTTTCCCCCTTTAAACAAAGTTACTCTTTTTTAAGGGTTTGAACAATTTGAGGAAGAAATCTTTGAAAGCAAATGTTGAAGTCATATTTCAAGACAGTAAAAATGGCAATTGTGGTTTTTTTTTCTATACATGAAAAGTCCTGCAGATGATGAAAGACTGTATATAGTCTTAATTATTTTCCTTGACTGATATGTCGGATTCCATTTCTTAAAAATTGAATTTTACAATCCAAAGAATTTTTCTCTGCTTTGTTCTCGGTAAAGTATATAGGCTTTAAGCATCATGCAAAACAATATTTGCTAAATATCTCGAATATCGATATATATTGAATGTCCATTGCACGACAAATTCCTAGTTAATGTAGACATAAAACGCCTATGTATTTACATAATATGGCATCACCTGAAAACCATGTGTCGTTGTTTGACGAAGCTTAGTTCTTTTAAGTTAAATATTTTATAATGAAAAGAAATTCAAAATACATCGAGCTAAACATAGAAAAGTGAATAAATTCATAAACTTGTTTTAAAACATGAAAATTAACTTTTCAAAATGCGTAGAAAACTGCCAACCAAAATCGGCACTTCCCATAAACATATATAAGAAAAGAAAAAAATAGTTGTCAATTTGTTTTCACTTTTTCATTTGCCTGTCTTAAGTCGAGAACCATATCAGTGTGTTTCGCAACTTTGGAGAATTTAGTAGATCTCGAATAGCTTTTGTGAATGTATTTACATTTTTAGAGTCGACCGATTTTTAGCTTGACAAATTGAAAAGACAACGATCCAATGTAAACAACTTTATATTGGTCTCTGTGTGTATTTTGTTTTTGTATCGTTCGTTATATAACGAATGCAAATTTCAAAACAATGGTATGCAAATTAAATATTACCACTTCCTTTATAAACAAAGTGGTGCGCATTGGGGTTTATTCCATGCAAAACAGTAGTGAGAGACATGCTCTGCTTGGTTACTTCTGTGTATGATTGTGCAGCTCCAATGATCCCTTGTTTTCCTAACTTTGCCATACATGACTTCGTATTTCCATACTCATTATAACATGTCGTCATGTAACGAATGAAGAGGCGTCGTCTGATGAGAAATTTATAGACTACAAGGAAATTAACTTTACACATTAGATTATTGACATTAGTTTTTTTTTTAAAGTGATTGAATGTTAAAAATACTTTGTTCATTCGAAATTGAAATCAACAAATTAAATACATTTCGTTTTATGCGATAAAAATAGAAATATAACGATGTAGATTGTACTGCAAGTGTCTCCTAAATTTACACAATAATAACCATGTTTTAGATGAAAATAATATACAAAGATGATTGTGTTCGTCTTTATAGTATTGTAATTATTACTTTTGAAGTGTTGACTTATTCGAAATACAAAGGATTTTCTACCCCAGGAATAGATTATCTCAGTTACATTTGGCAAAACCTTTCGTAATTTTGGGTCCTCAACGCTCTTCAACTTCGTACATTTTATTTGATCTTTTTAACGTTTATGATTCCAGCGTTACCAATTAGTCTTTTGTAGAAGAAACGCGAGTCTGGTGTACACTATTTTAAAGCCTGGTATATTTGATGACTTCATTTATATCTCTTGCTGACCTTTCATGGACACGCGAGTTCCCGCTGGTATCTTTGGAATACTCTTTACTTAATTTAAGTTCTGATTAAATAAATGTCTTTTCGTTTGCTGTCTTACGTGTTCCTTCCTACTGACGATATAGAATACAGCTTATACTTAAATACCATTGAATTGTATGGTATATCGAGCTTCGTATGTTATAATGTACATATGTATGTTTTATAAGAATCTGTAATTTTGATTGCCTCACAACAATCCTGAGTCACTCCAATATCATATTTTATTTCCGTTAAACATACAACAGCTATGACTCCGAGTGCTATCCGCGACGATGTTAAACTAATACATTGAAAAACAAACTAAAAGCTTGATATAACTCTATAGTTCATGGTTGCAATGTAATTATAAGAATTGAATGTTTCTTTTTACAACCATATAATTTTATATGGTTGTAAAAGCGTTGATCGTGCGCAATTTTGATATGGAAAATGTGATTCGGTCAACGTTTTTATACCCCAATAAAATTATAAAGAGAAGCATTCAATTCTTAAATAAATAAAACAATTACTTCTCCGAAAGTGAAACATTAAGAAAATGTTAAAGAAACCTCTAAGAACTCGATAATTTTTGGGATGTATATCGCCAAATTAACTTACAACTATGTTTATAAACGACTCCCTTTCGGACAAACTTAACACCAAGTCCAAATCCATAGCCAAATCGTTTAAATTTGTGTCTTCGACCGATTAATTTTCTTCTAAACATACGAGATATGCAGACATTGGCTCCGCCATGAGACCTTTCACACTGTCTTAAAATGGTATAAAACTTGGTATATTCACAGCGAAGCTTGTAATCTGTTGGTTAACAAATAAAATAAATGTAAGTTAAACATACATTTTACTTTTAAATTTACCTGTCTTTCGTTGCTTAAATATTAATTGTAATGTCTTTTGATTCACCCAATGTTTCATTTGATTTTGATATAATAAACTGGATCATTTTTACATATCTTAGCAAGTTGCCTCAACCAGATTTGGTACATATTTACTATCGTTTGTCAAATCAGACCGTAATGCATATATATACCTTTATTACCCAACAATCGATATCGTACATGTACATTAAAACCCAAGTTGATGTTGTAAAAGTGACATAAAATATACATGCGGACCAATTTTAGCACTAAAACGTATAGTTCTATTTATAAATGATTCATATAGATCACTACCGCATAGTTTTATTATAACGGCTATTGACTGCAACTAATTATTTTCAAGTACTTAATGCAAAATTCGTTCTTAAGAACATATTATGAAGTTATTTCAATCCTGTCATGGTTTAAAAAAAATGTGGACAAAAGCTATATCGTATTAAAATTTTTTTTGTAAATCTTTCTATATATTGTATGAATAAGTATCTGAGCTCAGCTTATTTTTTTCTTTTTGTTATTTGCCGAAGTAAGTCAAAACTATCAAATAAGGATAAACAAAATTCCGAAAGACCTTTTTAATGGAAAAAAAAACACATTTTCACAAACAACATCGACATATAAACTTAAAAAGGTTCGGTATATATTGGGTAATAATCTTCAAATACATGTAATACTCGAAACAAGACTTGCGCTATTGCATGTCATTTTGAAACGTTAAGCATTAGCCCACTAAATGATGTTTTAGAGGAAGATATTATTCAAACGCCGAACAAGTTAATTGGATATTATACAAACTAAAAAAAAAATAAAACAAAAAGAAGAAGTAAATATTGAACGGTCTCGTTCTGAATACGATTGCGGAAATAACCTCCAGGTCGCTTTTCCTGTCGCATCTTTGCAGTATATACACTTATTAACATACACTTTTGTAGGTTAATATGTATAAATAAAATTGTTAATAAGACAAGGAAAAAACTACTTACAATATCTATGATAAAGAATTCCACGTCCAACTAAACTCACACCTAGTTTACGGAAACGTTTAAATATCGGGCTAACAACAATATTTGTAGAAGTATGTCCTGCATCATGATGTTCATGTCCTGGAATATGAAAACAATCATTAGTCATAATTATATTACATTGCATCTAAAAATAACACTGATAGGCTATGAGTTTGAAAAAATCGAAATAACAGGATTGCATACTGTTGGTCACTCATTCTCACAACACAAAAAAAAAAAAGAAAACATCAATTAAGGGTCATTTAAAACTAATGAGTCGAAGAAAAACTGATAACTACGTGACAAAAAAAAAAAAAGAAAAAAGTTGAAAAGACAAACATGTCCACAACACATTAAATAAAAAAACTAAAGAGTAAGCAACATGAACCCCACCAAAAAAACCGGGGTGATCATAGATGCGCTAGATAAGAAAGAATTACAGTAGTTTTAATAGTCTGTAATTGATTGCCTAATCAACTGGCGTCATGTAAAATTTAGTCAGATAATGCATCTGACAGTGTGTTCAAATGACAGATGTAATAACTTTGCTTAATCTAACAAAAAGAACAAACTGGCATGAATGCGCTGCTAATATGTAATTTTATAACAATGGTATTTTTAATGCGGTGTTCATTTTTGAAAGAAGGTTATTGATGTTGAAAGCCCTTGCCTTCCCGTTCAAATAGCATTAGTTATTCAAAAATGAAAATGAAAGCGATTCAACCAGTTTTTTTTCTATGAAAGAATAGAATATTTGTTAACAACATTCACTACAAACTGCTCAGAGTCTGAAAAGACCATATTTTGTGCTCGACCAGTAAAATCGAGCACAGATTTTACTCGACTAGTCTCGACATTGTCTTGACAGTACGTAACTGTACTCGACTTTGGTCTTGACTTTACTTAATAAGTCTGATTCAGTGTAGTCTGAAGTGGTCTGGACCAAGGCTCGACCAGTCTCGACCAGTCTCAACCTTTTTTCGACCTGTCTCGACTAGTCTTGACCTTCAAATTTAGTCTTGACTGGTCTGAATCAGCCCATCTAACTAAATTAAATATAGATCTTACAAAATTCCAGTTTATTTGGTAGTTTGGTTCATTGCTGAGAAATTTAAAGAATTTAATTAATAGGTAATACAAAATTTGATTAAATTCAGATAGTCATCTTTAATTATTTCTATAACTTTTTCAAATCAACTTGGATTTTTATAAAACTCTACAGCTATCTCAATTATACTTTGATCTTACAGAATACCAGGTTGTTTGGTAGTTTGATTTATTGCTGTCAAATTTGAGGATTTAATTAATAGGTAAAAAAAGCTAGAATTTTCAGTTGACTGAATTCAGATAGTCAACTTTAAATTTGTTTATTACTTTTTCAAATTACCTTGGATTTTCATAAAACTTTAAAGCTATCTCAGTTATATATTGATCTTACTGAATCCTAGGTCATTATGTAGTTTGGTGTATTGCTGTCAAATTTAAGGATTTAATTAATCTAGGTCAAAAAAGCTAGAATTTGCAGTTCAGACTAAATTCAGATAGTCATCTTTAAATTTTCTTATAACTTTTTCAAATCAACTTGAATTTTCATCAAACTACACAGCTATCTCAATTGTATATTGATCTTACTGAATCAAAGGTTGTTATATTGTTAGGCATATTGTTGTCAAATCTAAGGATTTAATTAATCAAGGTAAAAAAAGCTAGAATTTGACTGAAAATTCTAGCTTTTTTTACCTATCAATTGAATCCTCAAATTTGACAGCAATAAATCAAACTACCAAACAACCTGGCATTCTGTAAGATCAAAGTATAATTGTGATAGCTGTAGATTTTTGCGAAAATCCAAGTTGATTTGAAAAAGTTATAGAAATAATTAAAGATGACTATCTGAATTTAATCATTTTTTTTTTTTCATATTTATTAAATTCTTTAATTTCAAAGCAATGAACCAAACTACCAAATAACCTGGAATTTCGTAAGATCTATATTTAATTTAGTTAGATGGGCTGATTCAGACCAGTCAAGACTAATGTGAAGGTCAAGACTGGTCGAGACAGGTCGAGTGTTTAACGCCACTTTCAGCACTATTGGCTATTTCGTGCCGGTCAATGTAAATGGTAGAGGAAACCGGAGTTCCCGGCGAGAACCACCAAACTTCGACAGGAAAACTGGCAATCCTAGTCAATTAAGAGAAGTGTCGAATGCACCTGCAACGTGTGTGGTTCGAACACAAAACTTTATAGTTAACAGGGTAGTGACACTGTAGATGAACTACTTAGACCCCTTAACCACCGAAGCAACCGATATATGGTTGATGATTCATTTATACAGCATACGTAATACAGCAATCTTATTTCAATATCATTAACATGTTTCTTACAAACTAATCTGGCCTGAATACAAGTATATCGATAGGTAATTATACAAGTGTTTTCTTATTACACTGTTACTACCAGATTTAAACAGTATAAATTTACAAAATCTTCATGAATTATTGTATTCTAAAATTATTGTCAAAAAGTGTGTAGGTTATAATTTCTTGTCTCCGACTACAAAAAACCTAGACGAACACCTACGTGTCATTATAGCCATACATTTTCTTGTTTACAGTAAATGCCACTTTAACTTGAAAAAAAAATTATATGTAAAAAATTCATCATGATAAATGGAGTTGGAATATATTAGTATTATAGAATAGCAAATGACTGTTTATTACCTTCGGAATACAGAATAAACAAACTATGGAGTTTTCTAAAACACGTATCCTTATTATGAAACATCCTCATGCAACGGCTCCATTTTCTATAAAAACGCCTTCTTCTGCAGGTTAATCGATAAACTGAAAGAAAAGATATATTGAAAATGTTTTTTGAGATTAATCTACATTATAAAAGAATAGAAAAATAACAAGATGTTTATGGAAACTATAGATATGTATAAGGAAAGTATTATGGCATAAGAAAATTATGCATTTCATTGGTAATATTGTATATTAGTACTGAAAATTAAATACGAAGTTGAAGAGGTTTATCAACCGAAATTTATATTCGAAACGATTAAGATAATTTTGGTAAAGATCTATTTAATTTTTAAACTATTGACGCTGATAAAGGTTAAGAATAAAAGGTAGTGGACCAGAACCAGTCTAAAAATCGTAAGTAAAGAATAAACTGTCAGAAAGTACTTCGAAAGAATCGGAATTAAATAAACCTTGAACACACATGGTTATTCGTTAGTTTAAGCCTGAGACTACTATAACACGGCATGTGTTATAGTAGTCTCAGTGTAAGCAGAGCATGTCGGGCGTGCACTGACCAACAGGCAATTCCAAAGTCAAATAAAATTCCAACCGTCAATTAGAGTAATATAAGAAATATAAGACACAGCAACGATCCGTCATTTCATGAAGACGATTAATGACTTTGCGAAGTGACAATTCCAGACTTTTATTCATACCCTATTGATATATCAACACAAACGCTTCCAACTCTTAAAATATTATTCAATTTGCTCTTTTGTTACCCATAAAAAAGTGTAAACAAAATATAGCAGTCAATTTCACAAAAAAACTTACGACTAAGATTAATCGTATTGATAAGTCATAAATAATTCAGTATACTTACGATCAATCTTAGTCGTAAGTCTTTTTTTGTGAAAACGACTCCTGAACTCCAAGGTAAATTCAAAAAGGGGAAGTCCTTAAAAACTGACAAAATCAAACATTAGACTTTATTAACCAACGGAAAGAACGGAAAACATCTGTCATATTCCCGACTTGTTAAGGGCTTTTTCCGAAAAAAAAATGGTGGTTTAAACCTGCTTTTATAGCTAGCTAAACATCCTACTTACTGGCTGTTTTTTATGGTTCCATTAAACTGACAAAATTTGGTGAGCAACACAAACAGACATAAAAGGTTAATGTGACAACTATTGGGACCTGGTAGCTAAAACTGAGTGAACATACAACACAGATATACAACACAACTGACAAAAAAAAAAAAACCCAAACAAACATACAAATAAATCTAACAAAGACGCCAACAAAAAGTTTTTGTAGTTGATAATAAATTTGACAAAGACTCCAACAAAAAAGTTTTTGTAGTTGATAGTTCATACAGTATATAATAAACGGTATACAATTTTCGATAAATTTCAAATTACGGAAAATCTAAATACAAGGGTAAACAAAATGAAAACAATACCGTAAAAACATCTTGCGTCCGAATTGCACATGTGGACCGACCTGCGTCAAAAACACCCAAAGCAAAAGAAAAAAAAACGATGGCTGGATGCATAAATACCGAGTCACGTTAAGAGTTATACGACCAAAAGGAGCATAATAGCACAAAGACAAACAAAGGTAAGTTAATAAAAAGATACATAAATTTAGCACCTAGAACCATCTTGTTTAATTTGTTAAATAATTACTGAATATTCATTTATAATGTCTTGGCACTTTCCGAAACACGGAGCTCGACCCTGGATTAGAACAAAGGTAATTTCAAACAGATTTTACATTCATACACAGACGCACTAGAAGCATTTAGATGAGACATAAATATTTACCCTGTCCGTCGTAAGAAAATCTTCTGTGCGTTACTTTGATCAATTTTCTGTGATTACCATGTTTTTTTCTTTGTATGGAAGCATGGCCTAGTATCCCTTGTTTTTGTAATTGAGTTATACAAACATCAGGATGCTTATACTCATGAATGCATGTGGTCATATAACGTACGAAACGTCTTCGTCGTATTAAAAATTTGTAGACTGAAATAAAAGTATATACATGTTACAATTGATAACTGGTTTACTTGTAAATTTACAGATGCATTTTCACGACTTTGTTTGTTTAACATTTGTTGTAACTTTAATTCTTCTGTACATTAAAAAAATGTTAATAAATCTGCTACAGTGATTTTATGTTGAAACTTTCTTTTTGTATTTCCATCATAAATGTTTTTGTCCACACAGTTTATGTCTAACTTAATGTCTGTTGTCATATCGATTGAACCCATTGACGCAATTGCGAAACTTATTCATTGTCATAATAATCAATTATCTATATGAAAAAAATGTGCAAGCCATTTATTCAGCGTTTTACATAATAAATTTGTTCAGAATAAAGTTCGTGAGAAACTTGGTATTGATGTTTGTATTGTTGCTTTTCAGGCTCATATTATTTTAATAATCGTGTAATTTAGAAATTCATAAATAAAAGTTATCATGTGACATCATTCATATCTCAAGATTGCTACACTGTATCTCTGCAGCATTAGATGCAATATGATACAACGTAAGAAAATGATTTAAACTCCTGAATGCCCAAAATCAACATTACAGATTATGCTTCGGGTAGGTTTTTAGGACTTTTATTGATGAATTCAGAAGAATAATGTCCAAAGATTTGTTTTCATTTACTTTAAATTCTTCCAAGCGTAATATATTGGTCGTCCAAATAACGATGTTTTCAATTTAGATACGTCTAATTTCTGCAATTGGTGTATGTTTGACCTGAAACAAGCAAGGTTTGAGACCTTTTCAATTATTGAAACTGTTCATTTAGAATCCTTTAGTTTAGTTAGCTGTTTGCAGTTGACATTGACTAAAACCTTCCAGTATCAATTAGTTACTCACAATGTTTTCTGTGAACTATCCCTCTCCTGACAAATTTTATCCCAAGGCCATATCCAAGGCCAAACTTTTTGAAGCGGTGTCGTCTACCTAGTAATTGTATTTTGTACAGGTTTGGAAGACAGTTACGTATGCCACCATTTGCCCTAATACATGACCGAATTGTCTTGTAAAATACTTTGTAATCAACACGGATTTTGTAAACTGTAAAAACAGAAACAATCATTTATAAACAAGCAAAATGAAATTATATACGTCAATACACAAAAAAAAAAATTTAAAGAAATTTCGATAAACTACGAATTTACAACCTTGATAGATAATAATTTAAAGAGTTCTATTCTTCAACATTATTTTTATGATATCAAAGATTTCGTCTATTCAATATCAATCTTCAAAAAATTTACTATGATAGAAGAAAATGAAAAAAAAAAATATTTTCTTGACAATATTTCAAAAAGTGAATTGTTTAAAACATCCAGGAATTATTTGACTTACAGTATTTATGGTAAAGAATTCCTTGTCCCACTAGACGAACTCCAAGTTTTCTGTAGAGTCGGAATATACGTTTGTCCACTTTAATATTATGAATATGCCCATACTCGGAAGAGCTTCGGTGTAAAACAAGGTGTTCTGATGTAACTAAAACATTTAAAGAGCAAATATTATCATGATAGAACTAGGTTCAAGAACAGAACATTTAAAAGTTTAATTACTAAAATAAACTTACCCTGGATAAAATGAATTCCCCTTATTCGATATGTGGCAATTGAACGCTTTCCATATTATTCTGACAGTGGTTTATTCGAAAATAATGGTGACTTCCAGATGTCTATTCTATATAAACATGTTTGTGAGTGGTCAGCCCCCATAGGGATTTAACAGCACATTATTGCGTGATGCGTAAATACTTGATAAAACTTTTCTACTTATTGTATTCGAATACCAAAATGGGTGTCACATGTCGAGCAGGATCTTCTTATTCTTCCGATGCACCTGATATCTCCTCCAGTTTTATGTTATATTCGTGTTGATCAGTCTTTAGTTTTTTATGCTTGTTTTGTAGACTGGAGTTTGTCTTTTTGTGCCACGGTTTTTGCAGTCACCTTTCGAAATTAATTTTTCTCCGTTTGGTTTATTCGGCATCTGTTTACAAAAAAGACAAGAGACACAAAGTACCGAGCCCAACAATTCATGACTGTTTTTTAAGAGCATAACTGCTACAATAGGAATATAACAGAATGAAAATAAACCTTTACAAATTTGGTTCGTCCACAGCTTTAATCTGTTTTAACTGTCCTCCGGAAAAAAAAAACAAAGAATGTTTAACCTCTTGCAAGTACATGTGAAGCAAGATGACCTAAAACGATCAAAAGAAAATAGCCAAATTCTTTTCACTTAAGGCCAATTTTGTCTGCGGGTGTCGGAATCTTAGTAATGATTTCTAAATTCATCAACGGAGAATTTAAGAAAGAGATGTTATAAATCATGTCAGTATCAACCGCTGCCTTCTGAGGATGAGATACCATCAGAGGCATCAGTATATCTTCAGCGGTGTCGATTCAGTGCTAGAACATGAAAATAACATTTTATAAATTTGGTTTGCACGATGCCTTTTTCTGTTTTTTTATAGTTAAGTTTATCTTCATATGCTGAGATGAGACATTCAGTTGAAACGTGGTAATTAGAAAAGTAAGCTTCTATTTGCTTCTACGTGGAACAAACGACCTCGAAAGTTGAATACTTTATAAATCATTTTCAAGAACTTCTATGTAGTATTTACGATATACACCTACCACATTGTTGGTTGCTTTGGCGATGGGTACGGATATAAAACGCTTTATGAGTACTTGTAATGTACTGATTTTCCTTACAAATGTACGTATCATTAATGATTTTATATTCATTATTTTTATAGAATTGCTTTGGGATTTATTGAAAAGGATTGTCGACTTCAAGTTTTAGTATACTATATGATATTACTTATTGTCTTCTGAACATTACCCTTTGGAAGCATATGTTTGTCTCTCCATGTAACAGCATGCCTCAAAATATCCTGTTTTTGCAGCTGATTTAAACACAAATCAGTATGATGATAGCTGTGTATGCAAGTCGTCATATAACGAATGAATCGTCGTCGTCGTTTCAGGAACTTGTAAACTGAAAACAGAAGATTGTGATTTAAAGGAATATGAAAATATACAGTAATAATGAATGAATACAGGTTGACCATTAAGTTACTGTTTTTATCCAAAAATGATTCCTTCCATTAAAATGGTTTGTCTTGCCATGCGTGAAATGTTTTTATCTATGTTATGGAACTAGTTCAAGGTTTATATTCTTTAGTTAAAAGCAGTCGAGAAAAAATTTTGACTTTTCTAAATCTGTTTTGTGAAGTACATTTTTTACCTGAACTTAATGCTGATTTTTAGTGACAAGACATTGACGTCCCGTTTCTCATTAATTTGTCTTTACAATAATGACTCATTGTAATGTTATCAAAGTGATTTTTTGTGAGGTAAGTTTGATTAAAGAAAAAAAAGCGTTTGCGCAATTTGTGCAAAGACAAGAAAACAAACTACAAACGATAATGATAGTTGAAACTCTTCAAATGCCTTTGAGAAAACAGGGGTCAAATCCCTATTCCTACCAATATATATATAGAGGACAATCAGACCAAAGAGAAACAAGTATCAATTACAGATAGCATTGGCAGTGAATTGAGTGGTGTGCGGTACTAGTATTTCTGTTCACTTATAAAGTTTTAAAAAAATGAATGTTCTCTATTGTACAAATTATTTTCAACTATCCCTCAATTGCTCGCTTTACGTCAGATAACACCAAGCAGATCATTAACCATCCCCCGGTTTTTAGTGGGGTTCGTATTGCTCTGTCTTTGGTTTTCTATGTTGTGTTTCTGCATGTTGTGTACTGTTGTTTGTCTTTTGGCAAATTTAAAGTCAATAGTAATCATTAATCAACACTAGTTTCAACTTCTTTGTGAAAAAAAACTCACAATGTTCTTTATAAACTATTCCTCTCCTTACAAACTTTATCCCGAGTCCATAACCTTTGCCATATTTTGTGAACCGGTGTTGTGACCCAATCAATGCTTTCTTATAGAGGATCCGAAGACAAGCACCAACTCCATCGTGTTTTCTCATGCATGACCAGAGTGTCTCATAAACTGTAGTGTAGTCCACACGTATTCTGTAAACTTGCAAAATACAAATGGCATAAACAAGTTTTAGAATGTTTGCATCATTATCAAAAATATAAATATCTCCAATAATAAGTTGATTCCCTGAATAACGTTGATTACAATGATTTATATATATATGAATTATGAATCCTTCCTTGGGGTATCGATTGATTATGTCTTGTCTACAGGATAAATAAAAGAACACCGAATATTTATCATTTTATATATTTTCTTGATCCTTTGTTATGATGATACATGTTTTGATTAATTCATACTTTATTTAATCAGAATCGTAATGCAAGCGCCGCTGATGAGTTCGTTCTAGATTAGATATAAAAATAAGGAGATTTGGTATGATTGCCAATGAGACAACTATCCACCAAAGTTCAAATGAAGTGGATGTAAGCAATTATAGGCAACCATACGGCCTTCAATAATGAGAAAAACCCATACCCTATGTTCGGCTATAAAAGGCCCCGACATGAAAAATATGAAACAATTCAATTGAGGAACTAAAGGCCATTCTATCATACTTGTTCATAAGCCTGGTATCTTTGATGTGTATACTTTCTATTCGGTATGGGTTTTGTTCATTGTCAAAGACCGTACGGTAACCTATAGTTGTTTTAATTCTATGTCATTTGACTCTGGTGGAGAGTTGTATCATCGGCAATTATACCACATCTTTTTATTTTTATATTTCGACTATCATCTATTATGAGATACTGGAAAAGAAGGCGATCTTTATGCAAAATACGACCACTTTCATGATTAATCATATTATTGGCAATCATGTCCCATCTTTTTTATAAGTTAGTTAGTGAGTTTTTACTTACAATATCCTTTAAAAAGAATGCCTTGTCCAACTAATCGAACACCAAGTTTCCGATATCGTCTAAAAATCCGCTTGTCTACTTTAATATTATGGATATGTACAAAGCCTGAATTATGATGCACAAACTGATGTTTTGTTGCAGCTAAAATATAATTAATGTATTATCATAATGTTAAGCGAAACAGGGAGACATGAAGACAAAACGAAAACCATTTTAAATGTACGAAAATGATATAGAGAAATTTTACTTTATAAATTTAATGTATAGAACTCGCCAATGAAAAAAATCATGAAAAGAAATAAAGACAAAAATAAAAAAGAATAACACACATTCAAAACAGCATGACTAGGTCAGGCCTTAATAATGTTGGTTACACCATGTTTACTGATATCTTAAACCCTCAATCACCTATTTAAACATGAAAAAAACCATACCACTTAAGCCATTGCATAATATACCTACCAGCAAGACTATCACTCATTTGTCATTTTAATTGACATGACGAATAACTTTGAGGAGTTTTTTGTGTATTAAAAAAAACTATAAATAAAAGCAATAACACATTTTAATTATTGTCATTGTCTAAAAATGATTGTCAACTTTGTCAATGACCAATTGGAGTATCTCGTTATTTGTAAATGGCACGTGAATTTGAATATTGTCCATTATCAAAAACATGTTGGTTGTTTATTTTATGTATTTTATTTTCCCTTGTATTGGTTAATCACTTTTGTTTCTATTTGTTATTATGAATCGTAACTATCTTTTAAAATTCAATAATTTTCAAACTTTTGAACACTAAAAGTTATTTCAGGGACTAAACCATCATTACTTTATTCACTTACAATTATGACTGATTGTTTGGTGTACTTCAAATGAATGTGCAGATCCAAGAAGTCCTTTGCCCTGTAATTTATCTATACATTTGCTAGTCCTTCCTTTACTGTTCACACATACCGTCATATACTTAATGAAAGTCTTTCTCACAACATGATACTTAAGATCTGGATATGAAATATGTTTTTATTGCATACATATAAATGAAAATATCAATGGGAAGGAAAAAAGCATTGTCTTTATTGTAATATAATTACAAAAAAAATAAATTCTCATAATTCGTTTATATCTAACAAATACTGCTTTCCATGTATGATTAATGAAATTCAAAATCGTACGAGCATATCAATGGGAAGCACAAATGCAGTGTCCGTATATTATATCAGAGTTAACACTTATTATAAAAATATATAAGCAGATGCTGTATGATTGCCAATGCGACACTATCTAACAAAGACCTAAAGGCAAAACTATGCTGACCATGACAGGTCACTGTACTTCAATATTTTTTTTATTGTATATTCAAATCGAAATCTTTCCATGCAGATTTTCAGTTTCTTATTTTGGAGCGTGATATGTATTTTACATTTGGTCTAGTATACAGAATATTCACAAACAGGAATTAATTAAAAGCATTATGGTTAATCGAAACAGTAGTTATTTAAAAATTTTTATTAAAGAATTACGACAGAAAATATAAAGATAAAGAGTAGACAAATATAAAAACAAAGATATTGTCAAATGTCAAAGTCAGTGAAATATTGCGGGTTCATAATACGTAGTGTGAAACAATTTTCGTAAATTCATTTATCTTAGGGGAATCAATTTTTGTGGCTACATTTATTTGTTATTTGAGAAATTCTAAATCCAAACCTATGGGAAATATATATTATGTTCAATATCTAAATTCATTGTTCAGCAAAACCACCGAAATACGAAAAAATTAGTATCCCACGTATATCAGTGAATCAAGAATGAATCAAGAATACTAGTATAATAGTGTTTATTTGTTAATACTTACAATAGTTTTCATAGACAATTCCTTTTCTTACAAATTTTACACCTAGACCAAACCCGCGACCATATCTTTTATATCTGTGTCGTTTGCCTAGCAATCCACGTCCATACAGTCTAGGAAAGCAAGCCCCAACTCCACCAAATGTTCTTATACATTTCTTCATTGAAATGTAAAGTCGTCTTTCGGTACATCGTAGTTTATAAACTACAAAAGGTTATTCATAATAATTAGTCATGTACTTATGTAACCTGACCTCATATCAATATAGAATTAGATAACAGCTTCCAGTATACTCAGAATTCTTTATTTGTGTAAAGTCAACATAGAAGAAGGACACACTAGTAAAGTCCATCTTTTGTAGAAAACAAAAATCATCAACTGCATCATTTTTGTTGCTTATTACAGTAAGCAGATAATTTTATAATAATAAAGTCATGAGATGTTCACACAAAATATATAAAATCACTGATTATGAAAAAAAAAAACATCTCATAATTGTAGTGAAACAGTGAAACAGTAAATACATGTTAATACAATGCAACATAACTCAATTTACAATTTGCGCATTCTTTAGTTTTCTATGTTGTGTTTTGTGTACTGATGTTTGTCTTTTTCTTTTTTATCTATGGCGTTGTCAATTTATTTTCGACCTATGAGCTAGAATGTCTATTTGGTATCTTTCTCCTCTCTCTTTCAAGCCTGATTCAGCATTGAAGTATTATTATGCTATAGAAAAAAAGAGCGGTTATCAATTTGGATTTTTATTATAAGAATTTAACATTATCATATTCATATTAATATTGACATTATTATCCTTACTTTTCAAATTTCTAAAAATAAGTTTAATTTTATGTGCAAAGTTTTCGACGAACAAGTATGTGTTTGTTTTATAATTGATTCATAAGAACACTGATATTATTTCTAAATATCAAACTGAACGTGTCTTAACTACATGAAATCGCTACAAAAACTTATCCATTATGTTCGAAGTTTAATCGAATGGTTTTTTAGACATAACTAACGACTTCTTTGGGAGAATGAAAACTGTATTTGACCATATTACCTCTCTTTTTAGAAGATTCAACACAGGTTTAAAAAAAACAATATTTTTTAATGCAAAAATTGAAATATTTTCTCCCTATACATTTTACTATCAAGTTATAGTTTCATCTGCCTTGAACTTGTTATTTCAAATTATAAATTTGTCCAAATAAGTTGTTACATTGAATTTTGATCTTCAACAAGGAAAATATATATTGATACTTAAAAGTTCTCGTACATACATGTACCAGATTAAATCTATTCTTGTTGACCCACGGAAATTAGTATTATACGTTTTTTTGGTAATGTTTTTACATATTTGAGTGAATAGCACATGATTCATTTAAATGATTTAATTTATAGACCTATTCTTGTATAATGATTTTTAGCATTTGAGATTTGTTTAGTTTCATGTCGTATTGAAAATTCACGGATCAACAAATCTACCTTCAACTTTGGTTAATAAATTTGGTAAAAAGTAAAATAACAAAAATTCACACTACAACGAAAATTCAAAACGGAAAGTCCCTAATCAAATTGATAATTAAAATCTCAAATACATCAGGACTTTAGATAGAACAAGACAACCCCACTATATCAGGATGTCTTTGTACCGGTTATAATCATTATACTGAAATAGGAACCAATTTCCGTGATTAATTTTTCTACTTTCTCGAAAAGATTGCATAAGCTGTATTTAGGACAATTTGGGGGAATGTTTAGCGCGCAATGATCTTCAATTTCATGGTGTTTTGACCTTTCAATCTTCTTTATTCGAGTGCCACAGTCTATTTTAGACGAAACAAGAGCGTCTGGTAAAAGACATTATAAGCCTGGTATCCTGCTCTCTGTTTAGTGTATTGAATGCTATTAAATATCTGTCCTTTCAAAATGACGCTACCTATAGTTGTGCAACTTACGTTTACGAGTATCTCTTGGTTTCTCCTTTCTTTTTGATTTCAGTTTTTACTTCGGGAAGTACACCAAAGTGTATCAAGGTGTTAAAGAACAGGTGTGATAACGACCGAGGCATGCGTAATTAACTTATTTCTACTACGAAACATGATTACTTGATATTTTTTTAATAATGTTAACATTAGGCGAGTCGTAGATGAGTCATATCTGTAGTATTGCAGAACAACACAGACTTGTATATCTTTATTATTTTGTTATCTTATTTAGTTTGTGCATCTTTAAATAAAAGATCCCGTATTTTCCAATTATCTTTAAGATAGCACATCGTACAACTGTTACTAATTGCGACATTGCTGTTATTGTCTGTCTTGGAAATGATTTACAATTTAAACTTTTTTTTTTGGTGGAACTCACAATTTTTATGATAAACAATTCCACGTCCTATTAATCTAACACCAAGTTTGTGGAACCTTTTGAAGTAATGTCCAGCTATTGTAAGATCAGAATGACTTTCTATCATCTGTCTGCTCACATGTCCGTGTGTTTGATAATTGTGTCCGTGGATAGCTATATGATGGCGTCCATGTCCCAATGCAGACAGATGAGCATGCTTATGTGTATGATGACGTATTTGTTCGCGTAAAATCCTTTTCTGAATCATCTTTAAATGTTTCCTTCTTTTATGGCTTGTTGTATGCAAATGTCTATTTAAACGACGAGAAATAACGCTGTGTTTAAATATTTCTATACCGTACTTGTGTTTAAATCGTTTGAGGTCTTTTAATACTAGTTGATGGCTAGAGAAATGTCTGTGGTGTCCATATTTTTTCAACTGACCTACACAATAAAATGAAAATTTTAAGAACCAAAAACTGTATATTAAAAACAAAAACGTTTGGATAACAATTTTCTGCACTGTTCTTAAGTTTAATTAACAAAATCTTAAAGTCCGAAGATAAAAAAAACAATGAATACAAAACCCTTTCGAAAATACAAATACTACATATAAGCAATCAACAAGTTTGTTTTCAACATAAACAAAGTTTTCTAAATAGTTGGAAGATAGTTTAATATTATGACCAAGTTCAGAACAGTTAGAAAATAATTTAATGTCATGAATGTGTTCAAAATTAAATCATTTCTCATCTAAATATCATAATCTAATGTTATTTTTGAATGATGGTCATGTTGTTTTCCAAAAATAACAATAAGTTAAAGATGAAAGCCATTTGATAAGGTTCATTTAGATTAATGTCCTTTCTTATGTACACTTCCGAGTTGTTTTGTGAACATACCCCTATGAAGTATGTGTTTTCCACTCCCTATTAACCTCTGTTTGTGTAACTGGGTTAAACAAACGTCAGCACGATGATAGCTGTGGATGCATGTGGTCATATAACGAACGAATTGTCTGCGTCGTATCAGGAATTTGTAGACTAAAAATCAAAATAAGATATTTTAGTACTAGCAATAATATAACATGCATTCTGTTTGTCAATAAGATGTTGATTGTATCAAAGAAGTGTTTTATTTTTAAACCTAACTGTTTACTCTTACTCTAGTCTTGTTCTCACTAACCATTCCCTCAATTCACTTATAGTCATCTTCTTTGACGCTTACATTACACAATAATATTTTAAGTGAAAATCTGTGTATTTTTTGGTCAAAAAAGTCCTTGAAGTAATTTTGAATTGCCAACGCAAACGAACAGCTTTATTATTACTGATCCTCATTGGTCTTCATCAAAGGTATACTTGGTACATTTCATTCGTTCTTAATTACTAATACATTTTAAGTTGTAAGTTTTATTATGCTGTTTGTATTTATCGTTTTAACTGCCATATGTTAAAACGAAATTTTATAGTAGAAGGTTAAATTCTGAAAATCTCGTGTATAACAACTGACCAACAGTAATCCATATTAAAAGTTCTGTTCCAAAACACTTACAATGTTTTTGATAAACTATCCCTCTCCTGACAAATTTTATCCCAAGGCCATACCCACGGTTATATTTTTGGAACCGATGTCGTCTGCCTATTAGTTCCCTTTTCTGCAGGTATTGAAGACAGCTACGTATGCCGCCGTGTGTCCTAATACACGAACGAAGAGTCTTATAAAATACGCTGTAGTCCATACTTAATCTGAAAACTGTCAAAACAAAAGTCCTCACACAATAATTCAAAACCAATCATATAGAGGAAATAGATATACACATACATTTGCATATAAATATAAATATACATCAATATACATATAGTTGCTATATAGATTTTAAAAGATCGATGAATTTGACATTACTTACAACACTGATTGATTTGAAATTATATACTGAAGATTCCTAATATTTGATGTAAATTTTGACAAATTAAAAGGAATAAAGAATAATAAATAAATTTTCTTTTCATGGCAAACGTCTGAAAGCGAAATCACATAAAAATGCTTCTGATATCAAAGAAAATATTTTAAAAACACAGAGATGTGTTAACTTACAGTATCCGTGGTAAGTAATTCCTTGTCCTACTAGATGGACTCCAAGCTTTCTATACATTCGGAAAATACGCTTGTCTACTTTGATACCATGAACGTGCCCATAATTGGAAGACCTTCGATGTAAAACAAGGTGTTTTGTTGCAACTAAAATATATTGGTAAAGTGAAAAATTAGCTAAAGATAAGATACATTTGAAAGTTTAGATAAGTTAATTACTTTTTGTCTCTATTTGAAAAATTGGACGGAAGATACAAAAAAACGAACATACAAACTGCTGTCAACAAAGTATAACAAAATCAAAAGATTGAGCAACACGTATTCCACCAAAAACGGTACAAAGAAAAAAACAAAATATCAAAAATAAAATTAGCTCCAAAGATGATAACAAGTGAGAAAATATGAGACGATATCCATGGATCAAAGGTTTCAACTATCAGACCTAATTGCGGAGTCTGTCACTACTTACAAAAGGAATTGAATTGCGATAGAAAAAGATCAAGTTGTCAATATTAAAAACTGTGTTCATGCAGTTCAAATGATGTAATTTACATAAAACGTGTGTGAACATATTGACACATGTTCAGTTTATTTTATCAAATTTTATCATTTCCCCAAATTTTGATTGAGTGGCTCAACCATTTAAGATCGACGATTTAATAAAGGAATCAATATACTGCCAAATATTGCTGCACGGAGTACAAGTTTCGGATACTATCTCTAAGATTTCCAACGCCTTAAATCTCCCGTTTTTATGACTGACTTGTAGTTTGAGGTTACAAATAGTAACGTCATTGATTCTAACAATACTGTTTTCAATATTTAAACAGCGGTCGAGAAAAAATATATTTTTTTTGTTTTTTTTTTATAAACCTTTAAATTTGATATTTTAATTAATTTAAGTACATTTTAAATTTTCAATTCACAAATAAATTATTGTATTATATATACGCCGTTACTTATTGTCATCTGAACATACCTCTTTGAAGAAAATGTTTCCCTCTCCATGTAACAGCATGCTCTATTATACCCTGCTTGCGTAACTGGTTTAAACAAACGCCTGTTTCATGATAGCTGTGGATGCACGTGGTCATATAACAAACGAATTGTCTTCGTCGTATACGGAATTTGTAGACTAAAAGTGAAATAACTTATTTTAGTAGTAGAAATTATAAAACATCATTATCGTATAGTGCTGCATTTTGTTTAACAGTAATATATTAGATTTAAAAATTAAGTTTTTTTTAACATAACTATTTATTGTACTCTTGTCTTGCCCGCTGGTAACAACTCCCTTAATTGAATGCAACTATTTTGAGTTTTGCAATATTCAATGATATTTTATGATAACAAGCGGTGTAGTGATCACATTAATGGCAACTATGTTATTTAAACAGATGCTTACTTCGACATTTAATTTATCTTCAGTAATGCCCCTTAATGCATGTTAAAAACCTCAACGCAAACGAGCAGCTCTATTATTACTGATCCTCATCTACTTCAAAGTACATTCGATACATGCTGTTAACATTCCTTCAGTTTCAAAATTGATAATGCTATTTGTATTTTATGTTTTAATTGTCATATGTTGAAATGAAATGTAATTGTGAATAGCTATATGCTGTTAATCACGTGTTACATTTATGCACAGACCACAACAAAACCTACATGCTCAGTCAAATAGTTCAATCGAAAAATATATTTATAACACTATGTCAAATCGCAGGAAATACATATAAAAAGACAGACAACGCCAATTAGGCAAATCAAATCAAATACTATTGAAATTTAATAACTGACCATTAGTTAATCATGTATAATGTTCTGTTCCAAAACACTTACAATGTTTTTGATAAACTATCCCTCTCCTGACAAATTTTATCCCAAGGCCATACCCACGGTTATATTTTTGGAAGCGATGTCGCCTGCCTATTAGTTCCTTTTTGTGCAGGTTTTGAAAACAGCTACGTATGCCACCATGTGTTCTAATACATGACCGGAGAATCTTATAAAATACGCTGTAGTCCATACTGAATCTGAAAACTGTCAAAACAAAAATCCTCACACAAGAATTCAAAACCAATCATATAGAGGAAATAGATATATACATACATTTACACAAAAATATACATCAATATACATGTACATAAAGTGGCTACATAGATTATAAAAATTGATGAATTTGATATAAATAACAGAACTGATTGATTTTAATTATATATTGAAGATTCCTAATATTTGATGTAAATTGTGACAAATTAAAAGGAAAAAATAATAAATAAATTTTCTTTCCATGGCAAATGTCAGAAAGTGAAATTACATATGATGCTTCTGATATCAAAGAAAATATTTTAAAAACCCAGAGGTGTGTTAACTTACAGTATCCATGGTAAGTAATTCCTTGTCCTACTAGCTGAACTCCAAGCTTTCTATACATTCGGAAAATACGCTTGTCTACTTTGATACCATGAACGTGCCCATAATTGGAAGACCTTCGATGTAAAACAAGGTGTTTTGTTGCAACTAAAATATATTGGTGAAGTGAAAAATTAGCTTGAGATAAGATACATTTGCGATTTTAGATAAGTTGATTACTTTTTGTCTCATTTTTGAAAAAAAAAATGGACGGAAGATACAAAAAACGAACAAACAAACAGCTGTCAACAAAGTATGACAAAATTAAAAGATTGAGCACTTTTTCCACCAAAAACGGTACAAAGAAAAAACAAAATATCAAAAATGAAATTAACTCCAAAGATGATAACAAGTGAGAAAATCTGAGAAGATATCCATGGATCAAAGGTTTCAACTATTGGACCTAATTGCGGAGTCTGTCACTACTTACAAAAGGAATTGAATTTCGATCGAAAAAGATCAAGTTGTCAATATTAAAAACTGTGTTCATGCAGTTCAAATGATATAATTTACATAAAACGTGTGTGAACATATTGACACATGTTCAGTTTATTTTATCAATTTTATCATTTTCCCAAATTTTGATTGAGTGGCTCAACCATTTAAGATCGACGTTTTAATAAAGCAAACAATATACTGCCAAATATTGCTGCACGGAGTACAAGTTCCAGGTACTATCTCTAGGATTTCCAACACATAACATCTTCCGTTTTTATGACTGACTTGTAATTTGAGGTTACAAATAGTAACGTCACTGATTCTTTTTTTTTATAATGAATTTTCTTTATTGTAACAAATAGACTAGCACAATATGTATGAACAAAGGTATATAAAATGACATATTCACACAAAGGAAGTATTAAATAATTAAACAACAATTGAATATATGATGGTGCAACAATTGGCTGAAAATAAATAATTTTCTTATAACATTGGAATCTTATTTGTTTTTGCAATATCTATTAGTGGTGTTTCAATCAAAATTCGACATTTATTATTTATTCTATAATAGGGGCCCAGGGACTCCAGTATTTGTTATATTCATCTACAGAGAGGTTTTTAAAAGAAATGTATTTTTCTAAGTTCAAGTGTTCCTTTAAAAAGTTTTTTAAAGCATTTAAATTTGGCAAAACTTCTTGTAATTTTGTTCGGTAAATATAGTATTTTGAATGCAGAATAATCTTATTTTTAACAAAATTCAATTTAACATTTTCGTAGATACCAAATAGAATAATCATTATATTCAAAGGCAGTTCAATATTTGTCATTTGAAAAATCCAGATGTTTAGTGCATGCCAGAGACTGGCGACCATCGGACAGCTCCAAAATACATGTTCTATGGTCTCTTGTCCTTCTTTGCAAAATGTACATATGTTGCTACTATTTATTTTCATCTTGTAAAGTAGTGAATTAGTTCCTAAAATTCTATGTATAATTCTATATTGGAACCAGCAAAACTTAGTGCTTCTAGTATATTTTGTACACGAAGTGTGTATTTTTTTCCAGTTAATACCAGTCATATTAAGATGGTTCT